CGAGGGGACGTGCAGATGAGGGGACGCGCAGGCCGAGGGGACGCGCAGGCTGAGGGGACGTGGCTTCTGCCCAACTTCTCCAGGGTTGGAGATGGTGCAGAGCGACCATTAGTGTCTTTGTGTGTCCTCAGAGCCCTGTTGGGTCAGCTGGTTTATTCCCTTAGATGATGCCAGGACTCACCTTTGAACTCTGGCTGCTTTCGTTAGCTGTTGACAACTTAGCAGTCAGGAAATAGCGCAGCCTGGAATTTGGGATCCCGACCTGTATTGATGGACAGAACAGTGAGACAAGCACAACTCGTAGGGCGGGTGCATCCCAGGACGCCGCCGGTCTTTCTTACACTTGTGGGTGAGATCATGGTTTCCTGGAAAGTGTAGCCGCATTCCACGAGTGTCTCCACCAGGCGCTGCCTAGAGAGCACACGCAACACGAGGTGAGACCACGCGTTCCCGCACTGAGAGCAGCAGAACACGTCAACGAGACCAAGCAGTCAAGTGTCTTCTGCGTGCACGCTGTCCTCCCCCCCAGGTTACCTGGCAGAGGACACCTCGAAGCCCTTCACATTCTCCAGCAGGATGAAGCGGGGCCGCCGGCACAGCCTGCAGAGGAGGGCGGGGTTACGGACTCAGAGGATCGCATACATCCTCCCTGCGCACGAACACTACTGAAGACTTATGACGCCGCCTCACAGTGCTAACTAACAAGCTTTAATAAAGACCGGATGAAAGCGGTTTATTTTGGGTGCACACAAGGTGACCTGCTCCACCTGTTCCATAGGGTGAAATAAATGATGTTCTATGCAAAGGTCAATGAGGTACTTTCACCCAAAGACGTCGTCTTCTGTTCTTTAAATAGCTTCTGTTCAGGCTGAAATCAGGGCTTCATGTTTCATGTGCAGACTAAACACCTGGGCAGGAGGTGGAGGATGTGCAGGAAGCTCTTGGTTCTGGAGTCGGCGATGTCCCCCTGAAGTCCGACCCTAAAGAACAGAAACAAAGTCATTCACCTTCGAGCGCTTGTCGGGGTCAGGGGTCAGGGGTCGGGGGGGCAACAGTTGCATCAGGGACCCCAAAGTCAAAGAGACGTCCCTGTAACTGGACTTTATACATCTCCATCTGCTCTGTTGCTTACAGTACATCAGTGTTGGTCGCTTCCAACGGATTGTCTAAATGTTTGAGTCGTGGTGATGCTGTAATTCACACCTCAATAAGTTCTGCTTCCTGTCACCCTGTTCTCTCTGAACGCTCTTAACTAGTGCGAAAGACTCACGGCACGGTTTCAGACCGGCCTTTGCCTTAAACTAATAAAAACTAATTATCCAACTGCATATTCCTCCAGTGATGACATGAATCCCTATCATCACCATTCCAAGTCATATCTCTATCATTCAGTGACTTAATGAAGGAGTCTTTTGAGTCAGAGATCAAGTATCATCTGAGACATATACGGTCCACTATCTTCTTCTTACTGTTGGTTTTTAACACAGAACGTTGAAGTAAGGATCAGACAGGGTAAACGCTGTTACTCATCCATTCATAAGAGAGTAACGGTGACGTTGTGTGACTGCTAAACAAGGAGACGTACCTGGTGAAAGGCTGGCATGGAGGGCTCATCACAATCATGTCGACGGGTAATTTATCAAAGTCATCTAGAGTTATGCCCTGAAGATACACAAAGGGAACACGTTGCAGAGGGAAACGTGATTATCTGTGAATAGAGTCAGTATATTGAGAGGATGTTGGTCTGACGCTCCGGTCGACTGGTCCCCCCAGACAGCACCCACCTCAATGGTCTTGTTCCAGAGGGTGGTGTCGGGGAAGTTGTGCCTGTAGATTTGATTGGCCGTCGTGTTGACGTCGATGGCAGCCACCACCTGGGCAGGTATGCCGCTCTCTAGAGGAAGATAAACATGTTAGCCGCTAAACATGTTAGCCGCTCTCTGGAGGAAGAGAAACACGTCAGCCGCTCTCTGGAGGAAGATAAACATGTTAGCCGCTCTCTAGAGGAAGAGAAACATGTTAGCCGCTAAACATGTTAGCCGCTCTCTAGAGGAAGATAAACATGTTAGCCGCTAAACATGTTAGCCGCTCTCTGGAGGAAGAGAAACACGTCAGCCGCTCTCTGGAGGAAGATAAACATGTTAGCCGCTCTCTGGAGGAAGATAAACATGTTAGCCGCTCTCTGGAGGAAGATAAACATGTTAGCCGCTCTCTAGAGGAAGAGAAACATGTTAGCCGCTCTCTAGAGGAAGATAAATACGGACTTAGAGAGAGGTCAAAGAGCTCAGACGTCTGAAGGGAAGTCAGAGTGCAGCCACGGTTGCTTCACCTTGAAACGCCTCCTTTATGACTTTTTACGGGCGAGTCCAACTGGTAAGATGCCCGAGGTGGGCCGAGAACATACTGGAGGAACTACGTATCTGGTCAAGACGCAGCAACTTAGAGATCCCCAGAAGAGCTGGAAAGTGTTGCAGAGGTGAGCGAGCATCCTCGACCTGCCTACATGATGACCTCTGACCTGGATGAGCAGATAGATATTTCTACCTAAAAGCTGCTTATACAATAAACATCACTTGATTACGCTAAATTGTTGAAATGGACGGTGTGTTTCAGTACTTCATATTCAAGGAACTCACCATAAAGTACACCAGGAGATTCCAAATACCTCTCTGGGTGAACATTAGAAGTGCGTCACTCACAGCAACTAGATGTCCTTAGAGGCCATTGGAGGACAGAAGTTGAGGTTGGGAAAAGTACTTTTCTGCTATGAAGCAGCATGTTTTCTAGTTTCCAGTGTTCCATTTGAGGATCTGTCTTCCTCTCCATATACTGTACGTCAGTACATTCCAGTTTGTACATGAACACTAGTGGTTATGATAACCTCCATTTGAATGATGCAGCATTGACTCCAATAGGAGCGGATGTATTATTGCCACAAAAGAAATGTGTGCACGTTGTGCAAGAACTGAATTCCGTTCCGTCATTTCAAGAGTTATTTTTTATCTGAATACTCTAATAACAAAGTAACAATAGCTGTGGTTGTATCAGTACTGTCCATTACCTCCTTCAGGTGACGTGTGGGTGCACGAGTACACGAGTGAGGACGTGTGCGCACGTCTTACCATGGGACCCGGCGCCCCACGCTGCCCTTGTGGTCCAGTCTTCTTTGTCCGCGGTGGCTGTTCGATTCAGAGGACACTGAGGAGACACAGTCCAAGCTTCATCGTGAGGACAATAAAGCATCAGGAGGACACCAACAGGAAGACTTATGGAGTCATTTCCACTCTGCACTCACCTTTGCTTCACATGATCAGAAAAACAGTGTTGTTGTTTTGCCGAGGAGAGTTTTAGATGTATTATATTAGGATTTATTTGTTGATATAAGGACGAGTGCAGGTCGATTTTTATGCACAAAATTCAAATGAATTCAAAAGTAGTGCACTTTTGTTAAAAAGTACTACTTTATGAACAAAAGTTGAAATTAATAGAATAATTTGGTTTTAAACAGCAGTATTTCTTTTACACTGTAGCAGCTCAAATATTTATTGTACATCCCAATTGAAACATTAATGCAATCAAATCAAATATAAAACCCGCATCAATACTGATTGACGTGGGTGACATCCAGCCTTCATAAGAACACATTCATATTCCTCCCCGTATCATTATTAATGAGCTCTTCTCATTTTCTTTATCCAGCATGTCAGTAATTTGCAGAAGGAGCATAGAGGACAGACACTGCACTTACCCTTTCATCGTCCTGCATGAGACAGAGGACAAGAGAAAAAGGTGATTCTCATTATCATCATTGTAGCCTCTCACACGCAGATACATGCAGAAGTACACAATGTGACCTTTACAGGGCAGATTACAGTGGATAAGAACACATTCATCTCTTGATCTGTGGCGCTCTGGTTCCCCTCCAGCAGGATACAGGGACAGCTCGTCACTGTCCACTCCTTAGCTGGTCTCACTTCAGCGGCTGCGTCCTCATGAGGACCGAGCAGTCACCGAAGATCACCTTCTCTATCTGCATGTTATACATTTTTGTTATGAGGCTTTTACTGTCAAGGCAACGGGGGCAGTGGAGGTAAAGTCCCCCCTCAGGACAGACCGTCCCGTTTCAGGGACCGCTCTGTTCGGCCTATGCGGCCGTTGGAGGACCAGACCAGGTCTACCGTGAAGGCTGGGAAAAACGTCCTTCTTCACAGGACATTCGGTTATGGCGTCATGGAAGGACAAATGCTTTTGGTGGGCGTGAACTTGACTGACTAATGAGCCACGAGGGTCACATGACTTCCATCAGTCACGACTGTGAGACAGCTGTGTGGACCGTGTGGCTCTGGATTGGACGCCGGCAGGTGGGTGAGGACCGCTGCAAGGCCGTGTGCTGCACACCGAGGGGCCTACATGTGGTGGGAGGTGATAGTTGTCTCACCACAGAGTAGATCTCACACGCCGTTTCTCTCTCGCTCTGATGAGGGTCACAGTACAGACGAAGCTTCTGAATCTCCACCTGAATAAAAAGACAAGTGGTCAGAAAAATGGAAATGTTGTTTGGGTAAGAAGTAGTGGATTATTAATGAAATGACTTAATTATTATGAGAGCCAAAAAGATGAGCTACAGAAGGACAAATGAGAGATTTCACCTATTTCATCACAGACTAGTCAGTTATTCACTTTGTATAATATTATCTAATTTCCTCAGTTTAAATGTTGCTTGATACACCTGAATCCGTCCCTCTGATTGACTCCTCCGTGAGTCAGACACACGTGTCCCCTGCACTTTGAGTCAAAACGTTGGCTCGTTTGTACTCACGGCCACAGGGAGGTCGGTTCCCCGTCTCTTAGCAACCTGGGTCTCTCCATTGATGTAGATGGGCTCCACCGGTTCCAGCAGTTCTTCCTGGATCAGCAGATCGTCCAGGAAACTGCTGACCTGACGTGGTCTCACCAGGACTTTGAGCTGATGCCACTTTCCGTCATAAAGAGTCTGAGATGAGGCACAGATATTTCATAAATACATTATTTCTTAAGGTCCTCTCAAGTACAACAAATCCTTAACTGGGAGTCATTTCATCTGAAGACTGAAAGGAGCTGAGACATAATATGCTGGGATACCTGGTTTAACAAGACCCTTCAAAATCATACGCGCTACGTCCAAAATACTGTACATTTTGAAGTAATACATTAGAATAATTTGAGTGATTTAGACGATCGGGTTTGATTCATGCATCAAACAGACCGTATAATACAGCACGACTCATAATACATACTGATTGAAGGATCCTACCACAATGCTGCCACAGTGTTTGGGCTTTCCTCTTTTAGTTCCTATTTCCCTGCCTTGTGTTCCTGGCTTAACTTCCCTTGCTGCCCTGCGGAGGAACTGTAGCTTTCTTCCTTCCTCCTCCAGCTCTGACTGGAGAGGGAACCACAGCTTCATCACAGGCTTCTGCTGCCCAAAGGTCACGTATGTAACAAAATGCACATTAGAGTCAATTTGGAGCATTTGATGGGAAAGTGACCCTGAATGGAGACACTGCAGGAGGCTTCAGTCCTTATTGTTCTTAGCAGAGGAAGAATCCATGTTCCTAACTGGCTTCTTTATGAGTTGGATGTAATACGCATGTGACATTCAGGTCTGGTTGAGTTTTTGCTATTTTCCGAGAAAAGGAAGTGATTAACTGCTTGGGTGTGAATGAGCAAAGAGGGGGTCGCGAATCAGTGGCTCTGTGTTTTTATACGATGGACGGATGAATATTCGGGGAAGACGTAATATATTACTACATTTTGTCAGAGGACCGTTGACATAAAATAAAAAAAATGACATGCAACGGATATTACAATACTTTATTACTTCATCGTTCAGTAACATGTTTTGTGTTTCTGGTATTTTGTCGTATTTATAAACACCAACCTGGACGCCTCTGAAG